GAGAATTTGAATATGCAAACTCTGTGGGCCAAGCTCTTGTCTATGATGCAGATACACAGTGGCAACAGCGAGACCTCCTGGCACCAGCCCTTGGCAGTGTAGAATGCGTGCACGCCCAGAGACGAGATCGGCCTCGATGATCTCGAAGAGTCGCAGGCCCGAAGCTTGAGGTACCATGTGGAAAAAACCCACCTGCAGTGCCACCACGCCCTCACCAACAGCAGCCAGCCTCCCGCAAAGTACCTTCCCATGACTCAGCCTTGGCGCTGTCGAGGTGATGTTCCTGAACAGAAACGGCGCCGGCGGCAAGCACCCTCGGGGGCTTCAAGATAGCCTCGAGCCCAACAATACCAGTGACATTGCTGGTGACAATCGAAAAGGAACGAACGCTGCGCTGGCTACCCCAATTCAGTGCGTGTCTTGGCCTCCCTCTTCTTGGCATGATGGAGAATGGAATCGAAGATGCCCTCCATGAGCTCGTGCTTGGCCCCGTGCTTGTCGGCGAGGATAGCAGCAGCGGAGGCGGAAGGGGGGGGGGCATCAGCATCGGCGTCCACATCAGCGGGAGGGACAGCCGTCTGTTGCTGACACCAAGTGAGCAGCTCCTGGTCGGCGACATCGGCCAGCTGCCGAGCGGCCTCAGCGCCGCTGGCTCCTCCACTTGCAGGGGCGTCGACAGGCGGCTGTTGCCGTTTGCATCAGGGGCGGCGGCAGCGGGCCCTCCGCTCTCACGCATGACGTAGCCGCCATCAGCAGGAGCATCAGGCGGAGCAGCCGCGATGCGATGGCCTGCAGGCTCGGCAAGAGCCCCTTGAGCTGCGCGGCGAACACCTGCAGCCCCTTGTCCGTGGCGACGGTGTCCGCCAAAGCACTGAGCTGCTGGACTGGGCCACCCTCGACGACGACCGCAGACCCCATCTCTGCATGCGCCTTGGCAGCCCGAGCCGCCGCTTCCTTGCACTTGACGTTGAGCGCCTCCAGCTCCGATTTGAGCTTGGCGGCCTTGGCGACCGCCCGGTTGGCCGCCTCCAACGCCGCGTCGTAGGCGCGCTAGGCCTTGTCCCGCTGATCCGAGAGCTGGTCCTGCGCAACCTTGGCCTCCTTCGCTGAGGCCACTGGCTCACCCTGCAGCAGCGCCCGCCTGGCAAGGACCCTCGCGACCTGCTTGGGCGGCCAGCTGGTGGACAGCTTGCTGAAGTCGCCCACGCTGGGCTTCGCGTAGACACTGAGCGACACCTCGTCCAGTACCATGGCACTGCCCTGGAGCGATGGCGGGCCTTGCTTCCACACGCCTTCCTTGAGCCTTGCCACCGCCAGGCTGCACCTTGGGCACGTTGGCGGGCGCGGGTTGGCCACACACCCGACACGCAGCGCGCGGGAGGAATTTATATGTATAGCCGCACTTCTTGTCGCAGCACGCCCAAGTACGAAAGTCATCGGGGGCCATGGACCTGCTGTGCACAGCGAGCGAGCGCGGGGAGAGCCGCGATGCGGAAACGAAAGGAGTTGGAGGTGTTGCCTCCACGAAAGGGCTTGGGGCCGCTGATCCCCTGCGCCAACAAACCAGCTCACGCCCTGAACCACCGCTACGGACTTGAGCCAAAATGGCTACGGACCTCCTCCTCCTCCTCCTCCTCCTCCTCCTCCTCCAACCCTTCTTCCTCCTCCAACCCTTCCTCATCCTCCTCTCCTCCTCCTGGACCATCGTGCGGAAAATCAACGCACGAAGCCGAAGAATGCAGGGGGAATGGACGACCGAGCGATGGCGAGGAGAGCACCTTCGGCGCGCCCGACGCAGGCGGTGCGCCGCGGTCGAGGGGGGCGCGGCGAGGGAGTGGGCAGGAGCGGCGCCTCTCGGGCGCTGCGGCCCGCGTGCCTCTCGATGTGCCGTGCTCGGCACTGGGCCTCCTCGCGGGCGCTGGTGCCTCTCGGCCTGAGCACGGGTAGCGCGGGCGCTGCTTCTCGGGCGCTGCGGCCCACGTGCCTCTTGATGTGCTGGGCTTGGCGCTGGACAGCCTCGCCCCAAGGCTGGCCCCTCCTCCTCGCGGGCGATGCGGCCCCTCGGCCTGAGCACGGGCAGCGCGGGCGCGGCGCATCAGGAGCCCGCTCGGCGGAGTGCAAGCTCGGCAGGGGCGACGGGGGGCGGCAGGTCCAGCGCCGAGGGCCTCGCGGCGCTCCAGGGCCGGGCCCCAGACGCGCAAGGCGGGGCGCGGGACCGAGCAGGCCGGCGCTGGCTGCTCGCTCGACGGGGGCGTGAGCGACTAGTGGCCGCCTTGGCCGCTGGGAGACGACTCGGTCGGAGGTCATGGAGGTCAAGCGCCGGTCAGGCGCCAGGCGCCCGGGGAAGAGAGCACAAGGGCCTTGCGCGTCATCCTGTGAGGGGCCAGGGCGTCGCGTCAGCGCGGTGGTGTGTCAGGCTGGCGTTCCGTGTGCGCTGCCACCTATTCAGTGCAGCGGTCGAGGCGACCTCGAGGAGCTCGCGGGCGTCGGGCTCTGCTTC